CAAGCACCGAGAGTCACTCCCCGGCTCCCCTCTGTCAGCCGCCGAGCCGCCCCCGGACCCCCCTCGGTCAAGCACTGTGCGTCCCCCTGAGAAAGGGGGCCCTGAGAGGGCATCGGCCTTCTCTGAGCGGGACTTGCAGTATCCCCCGCTCTCCCCTTCCTTCTCCCCGCATCATCTTCCTGCCTTCCTCCCCGGGATCGGTCTGGCTTTGTCCAGCGTGCGAGGAGACAGGGTCACCCCTTGGGTTACGCCCCTGCCTGCCTTCGGTGGCCTTGTACAGGGCTGCCCGCCAGTTGTAGTCAGTCCTCAGGTTCTCCATCCCGTCCCTGTTGGTGTTGCTGAGGTTACCCCTGTTTCCCCAGCAAGTTTTGGTGGCAAAGGCCTCCCCAGGCCCGTTCCCTTTGCTAGCAAGCATGGAGTTTGCAGAGCTGATCAAGACCCCTCGAGCAGACAATGTTGTTCTGCACCGCCCTTTCTACCTGGCAGTGGAGGGGACTCTGTGTTTGACTGGCCATCATCTCATTTTTTCTTCACGGCGCCAAGATAATGCTGAGGAGCTGTGGCTGCTGCATTCCAACATTGATTCTATTGAAAAAAGGTATGTCTCCTAATTTCCCTGCATACCCATACTTAATTGTTTGTATATCATGGGTTGAAAAGTCGTTGTCAAGACTGGGTTGCACCTCAGCTGTCTCAGAGCCACGTCTGGAGTGGAGAAAGGGCAGTCAATTAGAGCACAGGGCCGAATATTGGCATGGACAGGTTGATTCTCATTCTGTTTGGATATTGATATTTGACTGTTGAATCTTGAGGGGGTGTTTTTTTGGTCATATATGGAGTGGGAATTTTTATGTTTAAATGCCTTTGTCAACAGTAGTCTGCGTTAATTGTTCAGTGGATTTCATCAGTAGCTCTTGAAACACTTTATAAAGGATGCAACTTTATCACTGTTCAACGGAGATGGAAGCCAAGGCACTGGTGAAGTGATTTGCCTTGGGTCACACCCGGCAAAACTGATGGCAGAAGTGGACTCTGGACTTTCTCAGCCCCAGATCCATCTCCTACTGCTCAATGGCATCACGCCCTTACTTCTCCAACTGCTTATGGAAATCAGTAATGCTTTAACAGCATGTTCCTTGTGGGAACAACATCATAAAGCTGAGCTGTAGCTGCAGCACTCCATTTTTGTTTGCCCATCCCATTTTGTTACAGGGACTTCAGAGATTAGTCTTCTTACCATCACTTCTGTCTGCTTTACGTGTACCATTGCCCCATCACGCTTCTCTCATTGAGTGGCAGTCCCATCTCACCTGGTCATTGTCTTCTGCTTCCTCACCTTGGTCCTTTTTTCAGTTTGCTCATAATATTTTATTTTTTTGTTAATTACAAAGTCAATCTCCAGTTTTCCTTGCCTTTTAAGCAAATCTGGAAGAACAGATTTTCTTTCTGCCAGCAAGACTGGAAAAATCAAGCCGCAGCAATTAAAAATACCAGGTTGCCTCTGAATCTGAGAATGGGTGAGGTACTGGACGCTGATTAAGTTTGTTCCCATGTTCCTGATTTCTCTGAGTGTTTCGGAGAAATGCTGCATCTTGGCCTGAGGAACAGAGTGGTGAAAACCTCAGGAAATCTGTTCCCATCTAATACTGCTCAATCATGAGGGTGGTTTGGCCTCATCCTCCTTACTGCTTGTACTAAACCAGCCATAGCTCCATTTTGAAAATTATTATGGATGGGCTTTTCTTTCTATTTTTATTTTTTTATGAGCTGAGCTGCAGTTACAACATAAGTAAATACCAAATAAGCAAAGAACATTTTAAGTTATGGTGAGGGAGTGGTGCATTGTTAGCTCAGTACATGATTTATAACAGAATTAGCTACGTCTGCAGATACTTGCAGCCCTTATTGCCAGCCCTAGTTTCCAGGTCTCTAGAGTAGAGAACTCCCTCCCTGGGAGTAGCTTTGTGTGAATGTATGTCCTGGTTTTGGCTGGGATAGAGTTCATTTTCTGTTTAGTACCTGGTACGCTGCTGTGTTTTGGATTTAGGGTGAGAATAATGTTGATAACACCCTGATGTTTTAGTTGTTGCTAAGTGGCGCTTATCCAAAGTTAAGGATTTTTTTTCAGTTTCCCATGCTCTGCCAGCAAGCAGGTGCACAAGAAGCTGGGAGTGAACACGGCCAGGACAGCTGACCCGAACCAACCAAAGGGATAGTCCATATCATAGAACGTCATGCCCAGTATAGAAACTGGGGGAGTTGGCTGGGAGGGGCCGATCGCTGCTTGGGGATGGGCTGGACATTGGTCAGTGGGTGGTAAGCAAGTATATTGTGCATCACTTGTCTTTTCTTGGGTTTTATTCTTTTGTCATATTCCTTTTCATTACTGTTATTTTTATATTTTATTATTGTTAGTATTATATTTTAGAATGGTTATTAAACTGTTCTTATCTCAGCCTATGAATTTTACTTTTTTTTGATTCTTCTCCCCATCCCACTGGGCGTGGGCAGGAGTGAGGGAGCAGCTGCGTGGTGCTTAGTTGCTGACTGGGATTAAACCATGACAAACCGCAATGAAACTTTGCCATATAAAAGGATAAGAGTATATTCTTAGTGCTGCAGAGAATGGAATAACAAGACTCTTGAACCAGTAAAGGTTGTAGAAAGGTCTGGTTTGGCACTACTTCAGCTTATTAGTGTACAATAACTGTTGTTCATAAAATCTCCTCTCCCACTTTCATGAAATTAGTGTCTTTGTACAAACCAGTGTTTTCCCTAATTATCAGATGGTCATCAAACTGCTTCTTAAATTTTTGTAGCTTTTAAGCAACTTAAATATGAACTGTAGATTTTATACAGAAGCGAAATGGTCTCTAGTGATCTCCTATGGTGTTTTTGCTTCAAGAAAACGCAGCCCTGGCGATGCGTCGTAGCTGCACTGTTATTACCTTCGAGATCTGTGAAACAGTGCTGCAGCGAGGGCAAACGATGCACAGACTGCCTCTGCTGGCGTTGCAGAACTCTTCTGTCAAAACACCTGTAGTTCTTCCTTCAGCACTACCCACATTATAATTGGTTCTGCATGTGAACCTTTGCACAGAAGAAATAGATAATGACCTTTCAGTTGTAATAATAATTCTAAAATAAATTACAGGAACCTTTTCTAGCACAGGTGAAGCGACCCAAAGCTTAGCAACAGGTCTGCTCTTGGAGCACGTACAGCTCTGCACTTCCTAACTAACTAAATTCCTAACTAACCGAGGGTTTAGGCCACGAGGGGCTGAGATTTGGTCCTTCGGGTCTTGCCTGCATCTGCTTTGTGCATCGCCCTTGGCTGCTGCAAGCACTGCTGTGGTGTATGAGGAGACTCAGCTGCTTTTCCTTAGTTCCCTGCTTTGTGAACTAAAATCTGCATCATTCCTGTGAACACTAGTGGCTAGTTAACATAAAGAAAACACTCAGGTTCTGTTCAGGCATCATCCTTCTTTCAGGTAGGTCAGGAAGTCTGGAGAGGGCGTCTGTTAGCTGTGTTTGTTTTATAACATAGAGGGTTTTTTCTGGGTTGACTTTCGTTGTAACCAGCAGTGTTAAGACCTTAACTTCTCTGAGGTCTGCAGAGCAAATAGCTCCATGGCACTGCAGGTATCAGAAACCAAGCTTTCTCGTTAAAGACAAGGGAGTGTAATGTAACCAGACCGAAATGTTATTTTAAAAATTAAATTTAACTCAAATGTTTTAGCAATCCTCAAAATTTCAATGCATTACTTTAATGAAACTGGAAACTTTCAGCTGAAGCTTCCAGTACTATCAGAAAATACCTGAACACACCTTTTCTTTCATCTTTTAAAGGAAAGCTGGGAGGAAAACCTTCTTTTTGTCTTGTAATACTTACACTTTCACTCACAGCCGTATCACAAGGATGAAATTAAAAAAGTGGGCCACAACTTGCAAATACCAAATAAAGAGGTGGTTTTGTTTGTTTATTTTTTTTGAGAGATAATACTACAGACAAATTACTACTAATGGAATTTTGTCTTGTAGGCATATGTTGTGGGAAGAGCTGTATAATACCTCATCATACCTTAGAAGATCCTGTTCTTAAGAGACTCTTTCTTCATGTCTTGCTGTAGGTTTGTGGGCTCATTGGGTACCATCGTTATAAAATGCAAAGATCTGCGCATTATTCAGCTGGATATACCTGGAATGGAGGAGTGTTTGAACATTGCTAGCTCTATTGAGGTAAGAAATTCATAATGATAAATAACACCTACGTTCTCAGATCTTGATCTGACCTCAACCTTTACAGCTCTTTTTTTCTGGTTAGGAAGGTTTTCATTGACATTCTGGAAGGGAAATAAGAACTGTGGGGTATTTCCTTTCAATTGTTAAAATACTGTTTGTTGTTTGTAGATTTGTTGGGGGTTTTTTTTTGTTGTTGTTTTTTTTTTTTTAAGAACAAAACCAACCCTGCTTTTCTGGATCAAATATCTTGCCATAGCATTTGGGAAAATGAAGCTCAGCTTCATTATCCTGGAGTATGAGGAGGCAAAACCAAACCAGACTGGTTGAGTTGCACGTCTCAAACAATACTAAGTGACTTCTTCAGTTTAAGCTCTGTTGTTAGTAATCAGGTAAATGCCATGTAGTATGTGTCCTGTTAGTTATACCTGTTCAGTGTGCATTTTTCTCATCCTTTGGTGTGCTGTTACATAGTGTAGCCTGCAGAAATGATACTCTGTGTACAAACCCCCAGGTGCAGTTAGATTGTCTGTTATAATTTTTGTTTGTGCTACTGGTTTTTATATATGTTAAGCTACCTTGGAGGTACCTTAGTATTTCAAGCTTAATGGCTGTATACTTTTGGGTGGCTTAAGTTTGCATCACCAATATTAGAGGAAAACAGTGTTTGCTGTATATTTTTTGGAATAAAATAGCAGTTTGAATTAAGTAGCTGTTTATTTTTGTCGCCCACACAGGCTCTTTCCACCCTGGATTCTGTCACTCTCATGTATCCCTTCTTCTACCGGCCCATGTTTGAAATCGTTGAAGATGGCTGGCGCTCTTTTCTGCCTGACCAAGAATTTGAACTCCTCAGTTCAGTGGTAAGTTGGATCTTAAGGATTTGCACAGGCACTGGGATATACTTGTGCAAGTTGTTTGTGAAATATTTCACTCAGTAGTGTGTGGTTTGGAAATCCTGGCTGTCCAGTGCCTTGATGAAAAGTGTCTGTTCTTCAAATATTCACTGTGTAAACATCAGGCATTTCTGTTTGTGCTAAATATTCCTATTTAGCACTTGTGTTTCACCTTGTACAAGTGGAGTTTTGACGCTTATTTAAAAGTTACCTGGGAGAACATAAAGGTAGGAAATGTTTTTGTCCTTTGGGGTTGGCCCTCCTTGTTGTAAGAACAAATTTTAGACCTTTGGCCTGGGTTTGTTGTACTTTGCATCTAAAGTGGAGTGGAATGAATCTTTGTAAAGCCCTTAATTGAAATGAGGCTGTTTGTAAAAAAATTGCTAGGGATTTTCGTTATGGCTTAACCCCAGCCAGCAACTAAGCATCATCTAGCTGCTCACTCATTCCTGCCCACTCCCAGTGGGATGGGGAGGAGAATTAAAAAAAAAAAAAAAAAAAGTTGTAGGTTGAGATAAGAACAGTTTATTAACTAAAATAAAATATACTAACAATAATAATAAAATATAATAGTAATTGTAATGTAAAGGAATATAACAAAAGGATTAAATCCAAGAAATAGAAGTGATGCACAACACAATTGCTCACCACTTGCTGACCAATGCCCAGCCAGTCCCCGAGCAGCGATCGGCCCCTCCCAGCCAACTCCCCCCAGTTTCTATACTGGGCATGATGTTCTATGATATGGAATATCCCTTTGGCTGGTTCAGGTGAGCTGTCCTGGCTGTGCTCCCTCCCAGCTTCTCATGCAGCTGCTTGCTGGCAGAGCATGGGAAACTGAAAAAAATCCTTAACTTTGGATAAGCGCCACTTAGCAACAACTAAAACATCAGGGTGTTATCAACATTAATCTCACCCTAAATCCAAAACACAGCACTGTACCAGGTACTAAACAGAAAATGAACTCTATCCCAGCCAAAACCAGAACAATTTCTTAGCTTTCTGGGAAGATCTGGGTAGATAAAGATGCCCAATTTGAAACATTCTTAGCTCTAGTTCATGCTGGGGAAATATTGGGAGAGTTTAGGGAGCAGGAAATTTCCAGTCCTATTCTTCCCAGTGCTGTGAGCGCATATTGATATTATTTTGGTACCTGTTGGGTATAAATTTTTCTTGTGGCATTGCCTGTTGTATCTGTTATTCAAACGTCATTTTAGGATGCTGAGTTTGATATAGTGAGAACTGGCTCGGTTGCAGGAGCCTACCTGTTTTAATAGTGCCTTGACTTAGCATCTCTGTGTTTCAAGTCTTTGTTTCACATTGACTATGTGCACTTGCTGCATCATCTTAGGTTTCTGAGACCACATCCATTAGTACAGCAGCAAAGAACATTGATTTTTTTTTTTATCTGCAACCCAGCTTGTCTGCAGCATTATCACTTCCTGTTTATGACTAATAACTGAATAACATGATTAGCTTAACCAGATTCATACGATGAAATCATTAGAAAATTAAAGGAGTTCAGAGATCTTTCAGGTTTTATCTCAGAGTACTGTTATATGTCATATCTTCATCTGCTGTTAAAAGACATACAAACTGACCTGTTACAATAACTAGCGCTGTAGTTTTGGTTTTAATTTCACCTAGGGAAATCAAATGTGATCAGAGTGTTCTCCTGTTTGGAGGCAAAGCAGCAGACACTTTCCCAGCTCAGCAGAGGAAGTTTGCAGGCATTTCAATGCGAATCAAAAGGCCAGAAGCTGAAGTGCGAATGGTGCGAATTGCTGCCATGCTCCTCCTCCTTCCCGTGCAACAGTAAATTATAACTGGGTGACATAACGGTATCATCTCTCTCATGTTATAAATGGTGAGGTGGAGTTAAATTACCAAAGTGGGAGATAAATCAGGTTGATACTCTTCCATTCCTCATCATACTGGTGATATCGGTGACAGCCAGTCTCTCAAAAAGCATACTACGGAGTTCTGAATTTTGCCTTCTCTACATCCTATGTGGCAGTGAGGTATTTATCAGCTCTATTCTATATCCGTGCATGTGTTTTTTTCCACTGTAAACAAATTGCACACCATCATATGAAATCTGCTGTAGTTTAACATAGACACCTCAAAAAGCTATAAAAAAAGTCATTGTTGGCGCATTAAAAGGATGAGCTGTGACCAGCCGGCCTCCCTTATGCGATCCAGAATTTCTTTCATCTCCACCTATGACGTGATTGCCAGAGGCACTTTAGCTTTGCATCTGGGAAAACCTCTGCTTTTTATAAAATGTAGATGTTCAGAGAGGCTGTTTTGAGGCTAATGAATAATGAAATAAGCTTACAACACGGACAGTGCAAAACTGTCTGGATAGGCTACTGAATGCATGTAGCAATTGCTGCTCTTGATGATCATGCAGACAATGTGTACCTTTCCCAGCATCTTTTTCCTAGGCTGCCACCAAAAGGGACAATTTTGCTGTCTCCTACGCCACACATCCCGTGCTTTCGTTCTACTGATGATGAAATAGTGTTGCGAATCAGATCAGCTTGATCATCTGATGGAAAGACTTCATTGCCAGAAAACCTTTCTAAATTGATCCTAGTTTTCCATTCGACCAGTGAGCCAGTCAGATTGATTTCTATAACCAGAGGTTATCACTCAGGAGGTGTAAGGCAAGAGGTAGTAAGCCTCTGGAAGAAAGGAGAGAGGAAGAGAGACTACTTCTGATCAGAGCTGTGTAATTAATGCATGCTAAACCAACCTTCCTGGATTGACATGGGGTTTTGTGTATTCTGTTACCGCGTAATTTAACTGTCATGCTCTTCTCTTACTTTCTGTGATACCTGCTTTATCCCCTTACCTTTTTGTCTAGCCGAAACTTTCTTTGAACACAAATGAGCAGAGTGGTTTTTTTTGTTATGGCATCTGTATGAGGTCTCTGGCTGCTGCAGTGGCACGTAAATGCTTCCCAGGCTGTACCGAAAACACCTCAGCTGAGGAGTTACTTAAGGTCTTGTTTGCTGTCTCACACCTGTGTCAAGTCAGTGCATAGGAACTAAAAAAAAGAAAATTAAATCCACCTTGAAAGCAATGGCCTGTTCCTCTTCAAAAGGTTTTATATTTCTTTTTAACTTCTTTGTGTCTGAAGCTTTTACAGGCAAATTTGACTGCTATGCTGCTGCTACTTTTAAGAATTTCATGCTGCTGTTAAAATCAGAACATGTTGTAGAGGCTTCTGGGTCATTTTCCCTGCCAAGGCTTCTGCCAGCAGGTTTTGTTGGCCGTAAGGAATACAGGATAAGGATACACTGACTGAAGATGCAGCCCAGCCAAGCCACTGTCCTGCGATTGAGGACCACAAGTGCAGTTCCCTGCCAAACTTTAGGCAAGGTTCTGCTGTGTCCAATGTGCCCCTGAGGAAACTGTCTGCCTCATGGCCATTTGATATACCTGGATGGTGTCCTTAATGCAGTAGTCAGTGGTGTGGTGCCAGCCCAGAAACATGAAGGCTGGGCTTGTCCAAGGCTGCAGTTAGGGCAGTGTCAGCTGTTCCAGCCTGGACTTCAGTAAGTGAGGACTCGTCATCAGTGAGGCCGCTCATTGACCTTTGGTTTTGCCTGAGATGGAGACAAGTCCCCTGTCTGACCCTGGATATCAGGTAGCCTGAGTTCTCATGCCAAGTCCCTGCGAGGGTGCAGGGTGCCAATATTCAGCACTTCTTTCACAAGTGTTTGGCTGTTGGAAGCTGGAAAAACTAAATGTAACATGAGTTCACGATGAGACCTTTGTGCTTAGATGCTGTGCTGCTTCCAGGAGGTGCTTTTGGAAGAAGAGCTGTAGTGCTTTACGTAAAGCAGAGCCCATAGGAAAAAACCGAGCTGGAAGTGTTAAAGTGTAATTTTAACCTCAAAGCAGCTTCATCATCTGGAATTGATGGACATCCTTGCCTTTCTTGGCCACCTTTGTCTTGTGGGCAATATTACTAGCTGTGCTCTCACATAGAGGTTTGAGCATGTGTTACCTGCATCTAAATCAACTTCTTTTCCTCTAGATCTGCTGATGTAGGAACGCATTTACTTGCTACGAGATTGAAGCTATCTGAAAATGCAATAAGTTATGTTGTAGTGCATACTGCACACATGTTGTCTGCTGTGTCTCTGAAATAATTAAAAGCCCCAATCACCCAAGGACAGGCAGGGGAGACAAGGAGGGAGTTTCGCCCTCTGTGTCAGTGACCAGCTGGAGTGCATGGAGCTCTGCCTGGGGATGGACAAGGAGCCGATGGAGAGCTGATGGGTTGGGATTACAGCGAGGGCAGGGACAGGGGACATTATAGTGGGGGTCTGCTACAGGCCACCTGACCAGGATGACTGAGTGGATGAGGCCCTCTCTAGACAGGTAGGAGCAGCCTCACGTTCATAGGCCCTGGTCCTCATGGGGGATTTCAACCACCCCAATATCTGTTGGAGGGACAACCCAGCGGGGCATAAGCAATTTGGGAGCTTCTTGGAGTGTGCTGATGGTAACTTCCCTCTCCAAGGAATAGAGGAGCCAATGAGGAGAGGTGCTGTGCTGGACCTTGTTCTCGTCAACAAGGAGGGGCTGGTGGGGAGTGTGAAGCTCAAGGGCAGCCTTGGCTGCAGTGACCATGAAATGGTGGGGTTCAAGATCCTTAGGGCAATGAGGAAGGTGCACAGCAAGCTCACTACCCTGGGCTTCAGGAGAGCAGACTTTGGCCTCTTTAGGGAGTTGCTTGGGAGAGTACCATGGGATAAAGCC